GGCACAGCCAGCAGAAGGATCGGCCCAGCGCCTCGATGACATCCCAGATCTGGGGCTCTGGCTCATTGCTGGTGGTGTGGCCTTCAAGGCAGGAAACCCGCTCATCACCAAGGGCAGAGAATCTGGCAGCTCCAGGCAAGGGTCAGCTTCTGTCCTCAGGGAAGGATGCCGGTTGGTGGCCGGTGGGCACCAGCTCTGGTTCTCACCAGGGGCTGCTCCTGCCCCATTTGGTCTCTAGGGCCTTGGCCTCTCCCCACAGGGGGCCATTCTTTTGCTGCCTCCCACCTCCTGAAGACCATGTGGCCCCTAACAGGAACCACTTTCAGGGCCCCTTGCTTTGGGGCAGTGCATCTCACAGGTTGGAAGGGGCACACCAGGAGAGGCCTGCTGTGCCATGTGGGTCAGCTCTCTGGCCGGGGATCCAACTCAGGCCGCAGTGGCTGGTGATAGCTGGATAGTGCTGAGACTTAACCCCTGCACCACCAGGCAGGCCCCAAGGTGTGTTTTAAATTTCAGTGAAACGCAGATGGCAGTGTGTGGGCTGGAGAAATGGGGGGCGGGGGGAATGAAAGCTGCCCATCCACACCCTCACCCTGGGTGCTGCGCCAGGGCCAGAGGTGGTGTGTAGCAAAGGAGCTGGTCTCCCTGTGGCAGTCGGGAGCTCGGTGCTCATGAGCCTCATTTGCCCCACAGGCTGCAATTCCGACGACAGCCTGTGTGAACAGTCCCTGGAGCAGGAGCTTGCCGGCCACAGGCCGTACGGTGAGTTGCCGGCGCGTGGCCTCCAGGCCATCCTGTGGCCAACCACAAACAGCCGAGAGAGGAATCAGGCCACAGTGGAGACGGGACCCAACGCTCCTTCCTCGTGCTCCCCAGAGAGCTGGGCCTCTGGCCTCCGCTGACACACCTGTGTGACAGGACGTCACCAGCACCTGTAAGGTGTCTGGCGGGTTTCCGGGGAGCCCAGGTGACCTGTGTGGGGAACATGGTAGGCCCCTCTGTGAGGACTTGGATTGAAGGCCTCCAGAGAACTGGCTGTATTTAGTCTTAGGCGTTGCTAGAAGCACGAGCCAATGAGTGGGAATAAATTGTTGACAAAAAAAAACGGAATCAGGACAGCCTTTCCCCAACTCAAAAACTGCTTGGCTTCAATAATTTAAAAACAAAAAATAACGAAAGGCCTAGAAGGCTGGGAAGGTGGCTTCAGCCCGACTCCAGTGGCCGTCACCATCCTCTGTGCCACCATCCGAGAAGCCTCGTGGTGGGAGCCGCTGTCTTCACCTGACCAGGACACCGGGATGGGGACTTACGGGGCTGTCTCTGCCCGTGCTCTGATTCCTGGGGCTTGGGGTGGGGCTGGGCACCTCGCCCCTCAGAGCTTGAATGGAGAGAGGCACTTTAGAGCCACTGGCTTGTGTCTCAGTCAGCCCCTTTCAGTGAAACGCACATCCTTTTTAACAAGAGGATTTTTTTTCTTTAAACGTCAAATTTCCCTTCTCAGAAAGAGACTTAACTCTGCTTTTACTCTGTTCCACAAAAGCCCAGTATGGGTTAACCCAGCCCCAAGCCCCCTTGCTAGCCAGTGTCTTCCAAACACCTGTTCTTTGCAGAACTCCCAGCATAGGCAGTTGAGTGCCCCACAGAGCCATGCAAGAGCAAGCTCGGGGTGCAGGGCTTCGGTCCCCAGTGTGTCTCCTTTCAGCTCCACACCAGCTGTCTGCTGGACGTGGGTGCACAGGACTGAAGCTGGACAGTGGGGCAGGCTGGCGGCGGGGAGACCTCATGCTGCAGGGGTGGGGAAGGACCCGGAGGGGCGGGCCAGCAGGTGCCCTGTAAACGGAGGCGCTGGGCAGCCAGGAGAGCTGGCTCCAGAAGGTTGATTTCCTCTGGAGGGGGCGGGGGGCAGCTGTGAACTTGAGAGAAGTGCCAGGACGGCCAGGACAGCTGACGCCCGTTCCTGCCTCGGAGCCAAGTGAAGCGGCGCTGGCCCCCAGACCCCATATTGCAGCCCTTCTCCTCTGAGCCCCTGCTTTCCTGGCCCCCCACTCCAGATAGACAGCCAAGGCCCAGGCTGGGGGTCCCTCGTGTGTTCAGGAGCCTGAGCAGCTGCCAGACCAGCAGCACCCCATTCGTCTGCTTCCTGTACTGGCGTGAGATGCCTTTGTCATGCACAGCCCTAGACAGAATAAACGCAGAGCGTTTTGCCACTTGGATGAGTGCTCACCTGACGCTCAGCTGGTGACCGGCTGTCCTCGGGGAGCACTCAGAGAAGGCCCCAGTCTGTCCTTTGCCACACGGGCTTCTTGGAGTAGGCAGTTTGGTCCCCGTCTCTGGCCATCGGCCCTGCAGGGTAAAGGCTACCCTTTCCCTCCAGCACCCCGGCCAGGTAGCTTAGTGAGCAGCAGAAAGGCGTCCAGCCACAGCTCGCCTCTTCACCTGAGAGGTAAGGGGTGCTTCCTCTTGCCTGCGGGTGGTGCATTTGCATCTTTGACTCCCAGGCTCAGCTCAGGAGGTGCAGTGACAAGACCCCGCCTGCAGGCCGCCCGCCGACACACCCGGAGCATGAGTGGATTCGGCTTCAGATTCCTTCCCAGCTGCCACAGGCCAGCTCTGGGCGCCTGGACAGGCCACCGGGCCTGCACCCAGCCACACCACTCTGCAGCGGGCGTGCAGCAGTCGGCCTGTTCCCCTTGGTCAGCACAGAGCCCATGCAGCTGACACTTTCCTTTTTTGGTTTTTTTGTGGGGCAGGTTCCCTGTGTTTGAGAAGCCGGTGCAGGACCCTAGTCTCGGGTGTTTTCAGAGATGTTCTTAGCCCTCCCCTTGAACAGCTGGACGTAGCAGGTGCTAACGAAGCCTTTAACATGTGAGGGGTGGGCCTCCTGAGCTGGGTGCCTTGTGCCTTGTAAGGTAATTTAAACTTTAGCCAAGGCCCTTCGCTTTTATCTCAGGTTACTTTGTAGATGCCAAAGTGAAATTTCAACGGATTCTACAATGTTCTTAATCGGCAAAACCCCAGCCCAGAGAAGGGAGCCCTGGCTTCCCAGCCACGTCCCCTCTGGTGGAGGAGAGCAGAGGCAGCCCTGAGCGTGGAGGCCACACAGGGAGGCTGATGTGTGCTCCTCTCCGCTGCCCACTCTGGTCCCCAGGCTCGGCCGATCAGCTCCATGGCAGGTCCCAGAGCTTCAGCAGTGAGGACCTGATCCCGAGCAGGGACACGGCCACTCTGCCCCGCGACACTGGCGCCCCCGGACGTGCCATGCTCAGCCGCCATGAGTACCCCCCACCCTGGAATGGGCCTCTCCCCCAGGAGGGCGTCCAGAAGAGGAGCGTGGCCCAGCCCCACGCCGGCGCTCGGCCCTGCTCGGCCTCCCCGAGCAGTGAGATGGTCACCCTGGAGGAGTTTCTGGAGGAGAGCAACCGAGCCTCCCCCATCCTGGTGAGTGGCCCGGTCTTCAGTCAACCAGGACTGTAGGGGGCACCTTGGCCACCCAGTCCCAGGGTGGGGCCAGCACCCTGGCAGGCTGCGTTTCCGAGAAGAATCCTGAGCGCCCACTTCACCAGCAGAGGTCAGCAGATTTTTCCGGTAAAGGGCCTGACGGTAACTGCGTCTGCCTTTCCCCGGTATTCTCGCCACAGCTGCTCTGCTGTGGATTCGGGACAGCCAGCAAGCGCTGTTCCAGGAAATCTTTCCTTACGGACACTGATGCTTAAATTTCATACAATTTCCATTCTTGGAAAAAAAAATTATAAGCCTTTTTGAGCATGTGTAAGTGATTCTTCCCTGGCAGGCCATATGGAAAGTGGCCTCACTGGGCGGGTCCCGGCTGCCCTTTGCTGATGTCTGCCCCGCACCTCGGCCCCCCCCCGGCCCGGCCGGTGTGAGGACACCCTCCAGCGTCTGGTGTAGCTTTCTGACCCTCATGCAGGTGCGCGCACACTTGTCCGAATTCAGTAATTCTCACTGGCTATTGAAAGGATCTGCCTTGCCGCTGATACCTTTTAAGGACTTCCCATGCCTTGACAAACTGTTCCCTTCGAGAACAGTTGAACTTCTTCCAGCACGTAGTGACGTCTGCGACCCGTGCGGATAGGCCAGCGTGGCGGAGAACATGGAATATTTGCGCAGTAGCCACCGAGCATCTGCTGTGTCAGGCTGTGGGTGTGGTGCCTGCTCTCGTCCTGGTGTGTGGCTTACGGGGGACAGTCTGCACCCCAGGTCCTCTGCAGCCACACCCTGCTGTGGGGTGGCCTCTTCCCTTTCTGGGCTCCGGAAAAAGCTGTGGGCAGCTGTGAGGGGCCTGAATACGGCCGGCTCTGGTTTCTCTTCCTCTCTGTGGCTCAAGACAAAGCCCTTGTGAAGAGTCAGGTGTGGTGGAAGAACAAGGGAAGGCTGGTCTGGGCCTTCCAGTTCACTTGTGGCCCCTGGTCTGCTCGATGGGGAAGCGAGGACAGATTGAAACCACGGGACGCTGCTTCCCCCTCTTCAGCATTCTCGTTTGTGAGGGGGTCAGGGACTGACTTGTCCTGTCTGGGCTCTGCCTGGCTTGGGGTGAGGTGATGTCAGGCCTTGAAGTGGCCCAGCAGGTACAGGAGACTCCCATCCTGGGTGGGGGAGGGCCTTCCCAGGACCCCCAGCCTCACTCCCGAGTCTCACGTCTCTTCTCCTCTCTGTAGGACACTTCCAGTTGCCGGGATGACCTGCTAAGTGACTACTTCAGAAAGGCTAATGAGGCCTCCACCAGTGGGGGCCAGCCGGGACTGCCTTCCAGGAAGGAAGGGGCCAAGATGCCCACCAGCTTGGTCGCCCCCACCGTCAAGATGGCTGTCAACACCCCTGAGGGGAAGCTGCTGAAGCCGGGGCAGTATGTGAAGCCAAATTTCAGAGCTGCTGAGGCTGAGGCCCTGCCCAGTGCCCCTGCCAGGCAGGCTCAGCCTCCCCAGAGCCTGTCCCTGGGCAGACCCCGGCAGGCCGCCAGCCGGAACACGTCCTTGAGCCGGGCCTTCAGCCTGGCCTCAGCAGACCTCCTCCGGGCCGGCGGGCCAGAGAGCCTGCAGCAGGAGTCCCCGCTGAAGCCAGGGGTTTCTGAGGCCTTGGGCGGCCGAGAACCTGGCAGCCACACTCTGCAAAGCCCCACACCGCTCAGCTCCCACAGCTTGGCCCGGGAGCGGACCCCACTGGTGGGAAAGGCTGGAGGCTCCTGTCAGGGTCCAGGCTCTCGCAGCCGGCCGCTGGACGTGAGGCGCTTCTCACTGGCTCCCCCCAAGGAAGAGAGGCTGGCCCCCCTGCAACAGTCTGCCACGGCCCCAGCCATTGCCACAGGAGCGGTTGGGGGCGGCAAACCCCAGCTGCAGCCCTTCTCCCCTGGCCTGTCCCCAGCTGCCAGGACTAAGCCCCAGGCGCCCACGCTCGTGGGCGAGGTGGCCGCTGTCCCCCCCGTCCGGGTGGGGATCAGCCTCTCCGAAGGGGATGGGGCCCCGGGGCAGGGCCACATGGAGGGGATCCCTGCCAAGAGCCTGGGGAGGGCTCCCGACGTGGCCCCCCATGCCGGCCGGGCCCCTGAGGACCTCAGCCGGGCGAGCAGCTCCAGGAGCACGCCGGCCTCCCCAGAGCCGGGCGGGGACCCGCAGACCGTGTGGTACGAGTACGGCTGTGTGTGAGCCAGCGGCCAGGGCTGGGCGACTGACGCGCCGCTGACCACACTGCCGGCCACTCTGTCCACTGTGGAGCTGGAGGGGGACTAGAAGGCGGGGAGGAGGGTTCCCGCGCAGTTCTACTGCTTCTGTTAACGAAACACTGTGCCAAGCCTTAAGAGGACCACTCTCAGGTGTGTAACGTGTCTTCCTTACCTGTAAGTAGCCTCCAGCAACCGCCCACTTTAGCCTGGGGTCGCAAGCGGCCCCCGAGCAGACACTATCTGAGCGTGCCTAGTACAGCACTCTCCTGCAGCCTGCTGACCTCGGTGTTGGGTGCACGCCGGGGAGTGTGCCCGGCCGGCACTCTGCTGCGCCCTCCTCCCGACGCCGTGGGATCCTGGGAGCAGCCCAGACTGCTGAGGGCCACGGGGGACCCAGAGTCAGGCTGGCTGGGTGCTAAAACCCTGGAGTGTTGCCCTGACATTCCTGGGCTCCGGAGCACTCCCCAGGGCCGGGGCTGTCTTTAGGCAGGTGGCCACTGGCCTCGGGCCTTTGCCCGCCTCCAGCCGCTGGACTCTGGGGCCACGTGGCGGCCTGCCTGACCCTGGCTCGCTTCTCTACAAACACTGGATCTTTCAGGCCTGGGGGCTGGTGGAGGGGGACAGGGAGGAGCCCCTGCCCCACCCCCTCCTGGCTAGTGTACAGCCGGGACGTGTGTGCAAGAGTGAGGTACAAGCTCAATTTGTCACGTGGCTGCCGCGCCCTCCTCAGATGGGATGTCAGTTTATCGAGGAACTTCTTGCAGTAGAAACCAAATTTCTCTTCATACACACGCTCACGTGGAATCTCTGTCCTCTGAGGGCCTATTTATGTGTGCCGGGAGCCGTTCTCCGCTCTCGGACTGTGCTGCTTTGTTCTTGTCAGGTTCCTGGCGCCCTTTGTTCTTAGTAAAGGTGCTCTTTCTGGATCTTACTAAACCTGGTGATTGTGTTTGTGGGTTTCTCTTTTTTCTTTTGATCTAGAATACTGAGAAAGATATGGGAGACCTCTGAATGTCAGCAAGACCCACTTGGGGCGGGGCCGTGGGTTCTGTTTGTTCTGGAACACGAGGACAGGATTGTAATAAAGTGGAATGGAATGGAAGCGAGTCCTGGTTCTCCTCACGGCACCCTATCAGCAGCCTGGGGAGGGGGCTCTCGGGGCTCCTGCTTCCACGCTGGGAGTCCCCCTGGGTGCTGGAACCCAGCCAGCCGGCCTAAAGCTCGGAGTCTGCCCTGTTCTCAACAACTTTTTGCCAGATTTGCATTTTCTTCTCAGTGACTTGAGTCCCATTCTGTTAGGGGGTTCATAGGACGAGGATATAGCTTCAAGTGTCCCTTCTCATTTTCCCCAGGCCCCTCCGGGAGGAAGGGCTAGAGTAGACCTCACCTGGGGTCAGGTGCTGTCTGGGAGAGGCTGGTGGCGGGCAGATTCTGGGCTGCAGCAGTTCCAGGGCCTTGAGTGCTGTCCAGCCCCTGTTCGGTGCCCCTTCCTGTCAGACTTCCCTCTCACGCCGTCTCTGCTCCTCGGCTGCTGTCTGCACAAACTCCCACGTACCCAACTGTTCACGGTGCCAGCAGCAGCCCCCTCTCTGGGGGGTCTTCATCCTGTGTGACCTCAGGGCTGATCCCTGGCTCGCCGCACCTTGAGCCTCCGTCCGGTGACACGCAGCTCAGGGACAGGCCCCAGTGCGCCCACCTTAACCCTCGGTCATCCATCCGTGTGCTCCCTCTGGACTCCCCGAGAGCCACCTGCGCGCCAAGCCCTGGCTTCCTGCTCTGAGAGCTCTGGCCCTCCCTGCACCCACCCAAGGGTCACCTCAGGGCCTTCTGAGCCTTCTGTCCCCGCAAGCCCTGCCAGGAGGCAGCCCTGAGCTCGGCCCCCCACTCACCGCCCAGCAGTCGCGGCTGCCCTGCTGGACTGGGCATCCTCTCGCCCCACAGCCCGCCTCTCGTGGGTTCGCCCGGCCCGAGGCATCTCGAAACCTGCCCCCAGCCCGCTAAGTTGGGAGCACGTGTGTGTGGGCTCCCAGCCCTCATTCTCAGGGTTATTGTCTCGGTGCTCAGAGTTCTTGCACAGTCAGGCAGGGGCTCTCACCGGCAAAAGCCCTGGTAAGGGAAAACCAGAGTCTGCTGAAAACTTCAGGCAGACGTCAGAGATGATAGGCTTGACCAGTGGGAACATGGCGCGACCCCCACCCAGGCAGTCGCCCCTGGTCACTCCACCCCAACTGACATACCCTATGAGCACCCCCCACTCCCTCCACCCTTGCCCATCTTTGCACTTGCCTCTAGTAAATAAGAGGCGCCTGTGGGTCAGGGCTGCACGTCACTGCCCCTTGCAGCCCCTGAAGGTCTCTCGCTGCTCCACGTGGCCTTTGCTCTTTCTCTCGGCCCGCGACTCCCCAACACTGCCACCCTGAGAGGCGACAGGCACACATGAGCGCGCACACACCAGATTTGGGGTAGACAGCCAACCAGTTCCCCTTCACCCCCAGCAACTCGGCCCCCAGGGTCCTGACACTCACCCGGGGTGCCCTCCCTGGGTCTCCCCGGCCACGCCTGTCCCTTGTAGACACACTGGCTCACCTCCCGGCGTGCCCGGCCCTCCCATCCCTCTCGCCCCAGACAAGCTCGTGCACATCCACACTTTAATTACCATCTGTTCCCAGGAGGCTCAGACAGCTGCGGCCCAAACCTCCAGGTCTGTTTCCTGCATGGACGTGTCAGGCACCTTGAGCTCAAAATGCTGAGCACACAGCTCGCGCTACCCCCAAAGCCTTTCTGTGCCCTGTTTGGTCAGCCACTGTGGCTAACTGCAGGACCTCAAGTGCACCTGTCCACCCTGGCTACTGTGCATGGGTGAGCACACCCCCCGGTAAGGCCAACAAACAAGTCAGCAGAGCACAGTGCACTCTGTCCTGCAAATAGCTGCAGCCCACTACTTTGCTTCAAGCAGAAGCTACAAGAAGCCCCAGGTGCGGTACAAACATGCACCCCACTCCCTGTGTGGGGCACATTTCCTGTTTTTCCCTGCACGTGCAGACTATATATACCCATGGGCAGTCCTAATAAACACTTTGGATGCCAGAATCCAGGCTCCTGCTTCATTCTCTCGCGTCTCCAAGTCTCCTAGGTTCGGGCGAACACAGCGGTCAGCTAACCCACCCCTCGATGGGTTAGCAGCAAGCTACTCCACCCAGAGGTTCCGTGCCCCTCCCTCTCCTCCTATTCCAGCCATCACTCCAGCTGCTCCCACTCCAAGCCTCACGCACAGCCGGCCAGGTGAGGGGGACCCTCGGCAGGTGATTCCTCCCCTGGGGCCTGTAGCTGAGGGGTCACCCCCAGTCGTGCCCCTTCTGAACTCCCTTTCTGCCCTGGTCTGGGGCGTGTGTGGCTTGGTGTCTGTCTGGATGCCCAGGAGAATCTCCACGTGGCAACTGGAACTTCGCACCTACAGCGTGGGGGTCAGTTCTTCATAGAGAGACGGGACCAGCTGAGGCCAGAGGGGCTCACCTGGGGAGAATGTGAACAGTGAGCAATCAGGAAGCATGTGACTAACCAGGGAGTGTCCAGCCAGGTGCTAACCAGCCGGCCTCGGGCTGGGCGGTGTCTGACCACTCAGGTACTAAGTTGTACTGCCAGGGCAGCACAAGTCACAAGTATAAAACTTTTTATTGTAAAATCTATACAGCCGAAGGATTCTCTTAGAAAACCTGCCAAACTGTATTTTGTAGCCAACCTGTGCTTGCAGCTGACCAAGGTAGCCGGAGTGGCTGTTGGCTGAGTTTCATGGGGACGAGGAAAGCGGGAACAAGCCAAAGACGAGGTCAGCTGATGCCCCTTCGGCGACCTGCTCCATCCAGTCGTAGTTTGGAGTGTGGGTGAGAATGGCCTCAACTTTTCATGCCAACCCAGTGCTCACAGCCACAGACAGGACATGCTTGAAAAAGAGGTGGCATCATACCCACCCACACCCCACTTGAAGTTTAACCTACACTTACTAACATTTCTCCTTCACTCTCTTAAGTTTAGAGACTCCAGCCACTGACGAAAACATACATCAAGCCGACTGGTGACATCTGCCCATTTCTATGAAGTAAACGCTCCAGCCCTGGCAGATTTTAAGTTACCAGCCTGGTGTTGAATGGCCGATGTATAATGTCACCACCTTATAACAGAAAAGATGTCAATTAGCTCAAGGGCACAAGTTATAGTAAAGTGGAAGTGGCGTGTTTTGAGTATGTTACCTTTGTTTTTCACATGATATTTAATCAAAGTGAATTGCTAATGTGTGGATGTGTTTTTAATGATGGAACATACTTATCGAAGGGCTTGCAAAACTCCTGGAAATTTTTTTAAGATTTATTTATGCATAGACCTGGGGCGTAGGCCAGAGGTGCGGGGGGGATGAGAGGATTCACTGGAGACAGAGTGGGGGGCAGAACAGGCTGACCTACTTAAATACACAGCTGAGGGGAGCAGTGGGGAGACAGGAGAAGTCTGTGCCCTGTGGGTCAGCTCCCTGGCCGGGAATTGAACTCAGGGCCATGGGGTGATAGTGCTGAGACGAGGCCCCAAAACAGTCTTGCTCTCACAAGCCAGCCCAGGCTGGCTCCAGCACACTACTAGAGAACCCCCTTTTAGCAATGGGCTACCCAGGATGAGAGAACGCTGAGAACAAATGACTAGAGAAGAGGCACAATGGTGCCCCGTAGCTGACGCTGTGCATGCCCAGGCTCCCTTCCTGCCCTCCCTGGGCCGAGGAGAGGGCAGCACTGGGGTGTGTGGGTTGGACAGAAGAGCAGATTCTCCTTGTCAGCGTCCAAGCGCTAGCAGCGGGCACAGCAGAACCTCCCCGGCCTGATGCGAACTCAGTGCTTCCAAATCAGCCTGCAAGAGCCTGGCTGGCGTGCAGGGCCCGCCCTTGGCTCTGTGCTCACAGGCGAGTCTACCTGCCTGGCCGGCTCTCCTTTCACCCTCCTCCACCATCTCCAAGGGCCATTGAAAAGGGTGGGTCTGAGGCTACTACACCCCGGGAAGCAGAGGAGAGCCCATCGCGGACTTCTTGTTAACAGGAATAAAAGTCTCAATGATATTAGACTAAATTTATATTAGATAATCCAAATGAATCCAATCCGGGAAGCAGTCCAACAGATTTTTTTTTCACTGTGAAAACTGCTCCAACAAGCACAAGTTTGAGTTTAACTTACAAAGGTAGGAACGTGAATCATTAGCATTAAAAATACTTGGGCCCTCCCTGGTGGCGCAGTGGGTTAAAGCTCAGCCCTATGAAGCTGTTCACTGCAGCTTGAGTTCCATCCTCGGCCAAGGCAGGGACCCACAGAGCACAGCAGACCTCTCCTGTCTCCTGGCTGCTCCCCTCAGCAGTGTATTTCAATCTGCCTGTTCTGCTCCCCACTGTCTCTGGTGAATCCTCTCACTCCCCACACCTCTGGCCTGTACCCCAGTTCTTATATGCATAAATAAATAAATCTTTGAAAATATAATTATTCTTGACAGGGACTTCTGGTTTGAAGTCATTTTGACCTAAAGATACGTAGGTGTAGGGAAAGGTGATACTGGGATTCTCTCTCTTCCTCTCCCAACAATGCCGTGGAGATGCAAAGACGGAGTCCCCACTGTTCACATCTTCATCCCTCTCCCTGCCATTGGGTTTGAAATGGCTGCCGATTTACACCCCTTTCCAACGCACACCTTTGCCATAGCTGCTTGGCAGACTAGCCCCTGATGAAGGCGGGGGGCTTTGCTCTCTTTTCAGCCAGCACCGGGAAGGCTCCTTCCTGGGACATTCGCAGGTGCCCACACTCCGGCCGAAAAGTGGGGGTACGGTCCCCACCCTGCAGAGCGGACATCATGAAGGGACCGGCAGGCCTAACATATGCGAGCGGGGGTGGGGGGGTGGGGGAGGCGGGGAGCGGCGGTTTAGTCCTGTGAGGCACAGACAGACAAGTCCTCCCCTTTTCTAGCTCCCGCTTTGGGGCCCAGCCCCCGCCCCCGCCCCCAACCAGGTCACACTCTCAAGCCTGAGAGCCGCGAGAGGCAAAACCAGCCCAGCTCCAGGGA